ACGAAGGGGAAGAAGGGGAAGGAGGGGAACGAACGGGATCCGTCGACGCGGCAGGCGCGGGATCCCCCACCGGCGGCGACGTCGCGTCCTCGCCGGCGAACAGCACCTCCCCTGGGAGGATGGGCGTCGCGCCGGGCGGAGAAGAGGGCGGCGGGGGGGGGGAGGGGGCGGACCTTCGCCATGACGGCCCGTCGCGAGGGCGGTTTCACCAGCAGCCGCGTCAGCGTCCGCAGCAGCATCGCGGGGGAACGACCAACGGATACGAATTCGGACGAATCCACGGAATCGGGATCGCAAGAAAAAAAAACAAAAAAAGCAAAACAAACAAACAAAGAAAACAGAATCCGTCGCGCCCGTGAGGAGGGTTTGGGGTGTGGCCGGCCCCGTAATCAACCAAATGCTAGGCGAGAAGCGCGAAGGGGAGGCGGTAATCGTCCACGGGATGCGATTCTTCTATGGAGGGAAATAGTCCAACAGGCCGGAAAACAAAAAGTCTCTCGGAGGGGGGAGGTGATGAAATCAAACGTGCGGGATGGAGTGCCTTTGAAGAAAATCCTGACTAAGCCTCTAATAACTAAATAAACAATCCAACGACAAGAAAATAAAAAAGAATCAAGGAGCCAATTATCATGGAGAGCATAGGACGGTGCGATCATACAGTTTTTATCATTAAAAAAAAACGGAAGATGAGGTGGTGTTATTTCACTCACTTTTTTTTCTCCCAAGTAAGAGAAACCGAACGCACCGTTTTGAAGTCACGAACGATAGAGCGTTTATTCTCAATGTTTGAGAATCAAAAATAGACAAAATTGGTGTAAATACTAGAGACAATAAACCGGTCTTCTACGAACATCCCCTCCTCGCCAAACGAAGTAAGCATTTGTTTTTTTTTCCAACCACAACAAAAAAGAATAGAAATAAAACTGAGATCCACGCGATTTACGCGCGCACGGCGCTGTAGCCCTCGTGGATATCCGTCGCGCATTTCGATTCCGCCGTTCCGGGTTTCAACACCCGACTAACGTCGAGCTCGTCGCGAACGAGCTGCGTATCGCGCTGCACTTTATTCAAATGCTTTTCCATTTTAATCAGGCGATACACAGAGTAGACGGCGACGCTGCAAAGGCAAAGCGCGACAAGCCACGCCCCCGCCCCGAACAGGGCGACCCCGCTCATGATGAACAGAAAATCCAGACGAAACCACATCATCGAGATCCATCGCGTTTTGGAAACTTCCACCAACTCGAGCAGCGTGATCACGCGCGCGGCATAGAGCACCGCCGCGGCGAGCCCGGGCGCCACCACGAGGTACGCGAACCACCCCGGGATCGACAAAAGCGTCCACGAAAAAGCCGAGGGAAAAAGCAACGCGAGAAGCGTCAAAACCGGCGCCGCGATCCCGCACAGCACAACCGTCGCGTGCAGGGCACTCCAGGAGGGGGCGGGATTCGCGTCGGGCGACGGGACCGTCGGCCTTCCGTCGCTTCCATCTCCGCCGCTTCCTTCGCGATCTTTGGGGGAGGAAAAAAACAAAAACGCGGAGGCCGTGGGAGGGGGGTGCTCCACGGCCTCCGCCGCGGCGGCGGCGAGGCCGTCGAAGACGCGCACGGGATCCAAATCGGGCGACCCCGCCGGCGCGCACTCCTCGAGCTCGGGGTGGAGGGCGTTGTGCGCACTCAACGCGCGCGCGTAGAGGAAGTCGAAGACGAGAAACGTGAGGAGCTCGACGAGACCGAGAAAGTTCGGGAAGTTACGCGCCATCCTTCGCGAAGGATGCCCACAGAAACCAAAAGAATAATAATAAAAAAGAAAAAAAGAAAAAAAAGAGGGATAGAAGGGAAGGGAAGGGGAGGGGGGAAAGGCAAGCGAATACGAGAGAATACGGTAAAAGAAAAAAGAAAAAAGGAACGCGCTTGTCTAGAGAAAGGGCTTGAAAACAAACAACAAAAAAGAAAAAAGAGGGGGGAGGGGATGAAGTTTGAGGGAATAATCAACACATTCCTTCATTCCTATCGATCGATCGACAAAAATATGCAGCGGGATTCCATTTTTCCGCCGTAAATCCGGCACCCGTAATAGGAGCATCGAAGTGACCCCATTCATACACACCCATCAACATCGTTTACAAAAACCCATCACAAAAAGATCCCCTTTCGAGAAAGACATCCCCCAATGAGCACTGCAGCTCTCAACCATCCGGTTTGGGCGCGACATCGAAAACGTATTTACGAGGGTGTCGAAGGGACCTTTGGTGCGGATGGATTCCCCGGTTTCTTCGGCACCGCCTCCCCGCTTTCCTCCTCGCCCGTCATCTTCTTCGTCGCCGCCCTTCGAAAGAGCTCCTGCGTGGGTAAATCCATCGAAACGTAGGCCTCCGCGATCTCCTCCACGAGCGCTTCGCTATCACGGATTGGGAGCTGCACCATTTGCCGTGGAATGTAATAACTAGCAACCCCGGGGGTGGTGATGGAGCGTCGAGAAAAGCTCGAAAAGGGCCCTCCTGCGGATGCGCACCCACGCGTCTGGCAGCCTGCCCACGTGAGAAACCCTCGCATAATGCCGTCGACGCCAACTCGATCCAACGAACAATCCCTTTTAATGAACAACAAAAAAGGAGAAAAAAAACGAATAAATTTTTCACACTAGAGATGCAATTCACAACCCCACACAGAGGCCTGGTATAGAGGCTAAATTCGATGTCATCCGTCTGTAACGACGCCATGCGTTAGTTTAGTTTTTTTTGTTTTTCTCTCTCTCTCTCTCTCTCTCTATGTATATATGTATGCTTTCTATACGTTACCTATAGGCTATTTGGTTCTACGAAAATATTATTCCATATCCAATTTCCAGACAAGGATTTCTCCCCATTTTTTTAAGCAGAACATATCCATATCAATATAGATAGATAGAACACCAAATTTCACCAGGTAGTGAATACCCCGCGTGGTATCGACCATTGCCGCCTCCCACGTGATAAAGCTGTTAAACAACGAAAGGAATTCGCCTCGTTAGGACTTTTTTTTAGAAATAGATATATTTTATTTCCCCCTCGTCTTCCCCTCTTTTTTGCTCAGGCCACGAGGAGACTATGGGGTTTCCATCCGCTCGCGATTCGTCGCCGGTTGTGGAGGGGTGGCGCCGGAGGAGGTGGCCGCGCCGGCGAGGGAACTCCGCCCGCGCGCGCTCCGCCGGCCTGTTCGGAAGAGATACGGATGTTGGCTGAGCTGAAAGACGTCGTACCGCGCGGCGACGTCGAAGGCGAGGCAATTCGAAATCAACTCGCGCGCCTCATCGCTGACTTTGGGCGTCTCCGGGAACCGCAAGGTTCGGGCGGACTCGATGATCAACCGCTCCTGCCAGATCTTCCGCTGCGACTCCCCTTCCGCGAACGGGCGGCGGCCGAAGAGCATTTGATAAAAAATCACCCCCACCGACCAGACGTCGACCTTGTTGCTAATCCGCGGCGTCGCGGCGGTGTCGAAGCACTCGGGCGGGAGATACCAATACGTCCCTGCGCCTTGCGAGGTGAGTTCGATCGTCGGATTATCGCTCGGCCCCTCGCGGGCCTCCCCGATGAGTTTGGAGAGGCCGAAATCCGTCAATTTGACCTCCAAGACGCCCGGGTCGCCGGAGTGGAGGAGGATATTCGCGGGTTTCAAGTCGTAATGGATCACCGGGCTCGGCAAGCCGGCGAGGTACCGCAGCGCGGCGACGACCTGCAGGAGGATCAACCGCGCATCGGCCTCGCGGAGTTGCTGGTAGCGTTTTAAATACGTATCCAAATCCACCCCCGCGCTGTACTCCATCACGGAAACGAAGGCGGTTTCACTCAACGGGAAGACGTCATGGAGGCGGGTGAGGTGGGGGTGTTGCAGCACCCGCATGATCTCCAGCTCGCGCTCCGCCCGACGGCGGTAGTTTTGCCGCGTCGCCAAGGGCCAATCGCGGTTGATGTGGTGGATCTTACACGCGACGTAGCGCCCTTCCGCCATGTCGAAGGCCCGCCAGACCTCGGAAAACCCGCCTTTGCCGAGGAGGTACATCAGGATGTACCGCTCCCCTTCCCCGAGGGCTGCCCGGCTGACGTACTCCGAGGCGTCCTCGTCGTGGATCCGGCGGATCTCCTTCACGAAGGCTTTTTTTTCGTTCTCCAACTCGGCCTGGCGTTGGCGGATCGCCGCGATGCGGGCCGTGAGCGCGGCGTGCTCGGCCGCGCGGAGCTGCAGCTCCTCCTGCGCCTCCATCAACGCGAGGAAGGCGTCGGAGCCCGGGGTGGACTCCTCCCGGTCGCGCTCCTGCCG